AACCCCCCCGAAGGAATACACACCCCACCCCCCCCCCCCCCCCCCCCAACTTACTAGGAGCTTGATTACCCCAGCGCTTTCTTTCGACCGAGAAACCGTATGGTGGTCGGGTTGGTGTAAGTCATCCTGTCGGCTGTGAAACTTAGGTTGTCGAACACCAGCTTGAATAGTACATTTACCGAGCTCCCTTATCGATGAGGATGCTTCCTACTTGATAACTATTGATTATAGATGTTATCACAGAAGCATCATTATAGGGATTTCCCTTCAGCAGCAAATCATCATCAGTGAAGTAAATAAATGGGTGGACCTTGAGTTTTGGGGCAAAGGCTGCAGCGCAGAGTTCTCCTGTTTGTTGTCTCTTCCTGTTTACCCTCCTAAGTGGTTCGCTTCCTCCAAAAATTGTGGGCATGTATCCCACAATGTGGATGGCGTTGGAGCGGAAGGGTTTGTTGGTTGTTCTTCCCGTGGGAGCTTTCCCTGCCTCTGGGTTGCGGCTCCAGAGGCGACAAATTCTTTCAGCTCCCCCTCTTTTATCAACTCTTCAATCAGGCTCCAAAGGTGCATGCATTCCTCCATGTCTTGTCTGTGATCCCTGTAATACTTGCAGTATTTTCTGCTATCTCAGAGAAAGGCTCGGGTTCTCAGTGGCAGTGCTTTCCTGAAGAATTCCTTATCCTGAATGGTGACCACTACTTATGTCATGGACACCCTCAGTGAGGTTTCGCGGGGGACTACATGGTTGTAACGGGAATGTTCATGATAATGAGACGATCAGTGGTGTTGCGCCTTCGTCTCACCTAATCCTCGCACAATGGGTCGAGTGGTTGTTGGGGCGGTTTTCATAGCTTGAGCGGATGATCGGTCGCTCATCCTGTCTCGATTACCTCCTATTGTCCTGTAGGGTTCTCTTTTGTTGCCTTTGTTCGGTAGGTTCAGAGGCATTTTCATAGGCAGTTATGTACTTATTGGTCATCTCTAACAGCTCGGTCAAGCTCCCCAAGGTCAAGGTTGAAGCGGAATCTCTCCGACCTTAACCCTTGTGTCAGCGCGGCCTAGGCCATGTCAGGTTTCAAGTCTTTCACATCCAACATCTCATTCTAAAAATGAGTAAAAAACGATTGCAAGCTCTCATCGGCTCCTTGTTTTAGTTTCCTAAAGGATCGGGCGCTAATCTTGGGTCTCAAAGCACTAGCAAACTGGGATAAAAAACTTCTTAAATTCCGCAAAACAAGTGATCACTCCTACAAGTAACACGTCGAACCAACTTAATGCAGATGACCTCAGTGTTGCGAAGAAAAGCTTGCACTTAAGGACATTAGAGATTTTCAACATAGGATTCAAACAACGCGAGGTTGGTCATTGGGGTCCGATTGTCCTTTCTATGACTCTAGGACGGGCATCTTAAACTTCTCTGAGGGTTCAACTCCCAAGACTTCTAATGAGAAAGCATTCTCCGGCTGTCGTGGTACCTCGGTCCGCACCAGTCGATTCCTCACCTCCACAGAGGAGATCCGACGCTATCCTCGTATAGCACATCGTCAGGCTTCTCCTGCAGATGGATTGTTCTTCTTACGTTGTTTGCTGGTGATTACCATTGAGAGGATTGGGTGCCCTTGTCGGGTCGACTCTATCCTTGGAACTGTGACTGCCACTAGGGCAGCTACCACTCTGAGTACTTTTGTGCATTGTCCTGACATCTAGTTATTGATTTGAGTCCTCAGGTCTTGTATGCCTTACTGGACGAATTCCTCCATGAACTCCTTAGTGCGTGCTTGCTTGTGTCATGTTCCTCTGACTGGATTCTCTTTGTTGTTGTTACTGAGTTGCTATTCTTGTTGACGGCATGTTTCCATGCTCACCGCACTTTAAAGGATTTCGAATCTAAGATTATTCGGGAAACATACGCAAGGTATAGAACGTTTTGCAAGCAAAGATAGAAAAAGAGTACAATGGAGATTAATAAAAATGTGTAGCCCCCTATTTATGATATGGACCCCTTATTTCTAGGAAAATGCCTCAGTCTTACAAAATTACAGATCTATCCCCTTATCATTAGTCGTCAGAGGGCCCTTTTAGTAATTAAAAGAATATTATAATATAATAAGACTAGCGGATTAATATCGTTCGGTAAGAAGTTCGTCGGCAGCTCGCCTCACCTTGACTCCATCGATAGTTGATCCAAGCTGAGTAATCTACGGCTGTCGATGCAGCCGATCGTCGTCCAATGGGAAATGCTTTGGCACATTCTCTCGATCGCTCGATCCAAACACCTCCCTCGCTAGCATTCAATCTATTGATCGCCAATCAGGTATGTTTGATCGGACACGCCATCCTCCCGAGTCATCTGCCTGTCTTGAGATTCGTGCTAACATATTTTTCGTATACAGTAATCAATTCACAAGCAATGTTGTACAGTAAAAATGAGAGCTTGGTTAAACTAATGCAGTTAAAGATGTGAACCCACAAGTCACTGCAAAGAGGAGCATTTACATGCATACCACCCAATTCCTATGTATTTACATATCCAACGCTTAAACTTTCATATCATATCCAAAATACCACCATTTTAAGTTCTTAACCTTTTAAGAGTAAAATACAACCTTTCATGCACAGGTAAGATGGCCGTCTGCAAAAATAGAATTATAGGTGTTAAATATGTAAATGCATAGCAATTCAGTGGTATGTATGTAAATCTTCCAAAAAAATAAAGAGGAGATGCAAGAAGAATAGATGTTGGAAGAAGACTAGACTAATGAGGAAGGCATTTGTTACCTTGCATCGGAGTTGATCTTTGTTCTCAGGTGGTGAGCCACTAAACCACCGGAGCGATCCAATGCGGAAGGTGCGCCGCCTTTTGTCTAACGAAAAGTAGTTTCTTGATACAAAAACAACATTGTTTTGCACATCCTTTTCTACAACATACCTGCATGCAACGTCAGAAGGGATTAATAGAGCTAAACATGTTATATTGATCAATTATAGTGCAATATCATGATTTATTTCAAGTTTAAGCTTGGAGGGTCGATTAAAATATCAATTTGATTCCAATCTTAACTTGTTAATCAATTAAAATAGCACTAACAGTGTTTTTTTTCTGACTATTGGAATTATCTCAGTGTAGGGATATAATCAAAGGAAGATTCCATACATGCATACTACCTAGTCCCTCTGTTTTTACATCTCACACCTGAACTTCCAATTTTTACATATATGTCGCCTTACCTACGCATGAAAAATTATATTTCACTTTTAAAAGTTAAAATAGTGGTACTTTTGACGCGATATGAAAAATTTAAGTAGTATAAATGTAAAAAGTAAAAGTTTTATTGTTAGATATTTAAATACAAAGGAATTTGGTGTTATGTATGTAAATGCCGCTCAAAATGCTAATCAAAATAAATTAGCCAAGAGCTTGTACCATGGTCCTCCAGGAAGGCGAAGGCCTTGGCGCTGTCCAATAGTATAAAACCAAAAGCCCCTATGATTTCCCAGATAGTCTCCTGTCTCAGCTTCTAGCAATATGCCTTCCATCTCTCCAATATGCCTGGCAACAAATTCACTGAACTTAACCTGCAAATATACAAAAAAAAGAGGGGGAAAAAAAAAAGAAAATGGCAGAAGAGATGAACTGTTATCACTTGTTTAAGAATCAATATGAATTAAAAAGAGTAGAAATTCAAAATGAGGATTTCACATCTAAGGCAACACTCAACTAGAATAGATACAAAATGAGATTCATAAAACCAACCCAATAGTGGGATAATGTTAATGATAATGATGATGGATTCAAAACAAAGTTAATCAAACCCAGAGTGATGGAGTGCAGCCCATGTACAAAAAAGAACTTTCCATCTATTGATAGGGAAAAAAAGCAAAAAAGGGCCTTAGCAAAACTCTCCGAACATCCATCTACTCATGTCCCTCTTAAATTTCATTTAAAACCTCCTAAACACATAGCATGTACCCTCCTCTATAAACGTAAGGAGAGGGGTGATGGCATATGGAAAAAAAAAAAAAAGGAAATAGTGAGATCTTAGTGAACTTTGAATACTCTAAAACTAAACCCCTCTCCCTCCCTTACCTCTTCTCCAACATTGCCAACGCCTTCATCACTCTGCATGCCGCCCATCTGCACATACATTTCTTAATATGATGGGGAGGCGCCTCATGGACTAAGAGATTACAACATAGCTTAGTTGCCTTTTAAAATGCCAATAAATGTCTTTCTTCGTATGTCTGATGGACTTGTTGATATCCCTTTTGCAAGGGTGATAACGAAATGTTGTGTTATTCAGTGGAACTCTGAAGTTAACACATTTTGTTCTACGCGTCGTAGGACCATGCAAAACTTGTTAGAATTTCATGGACAAAAAGAATAAATAGATGTAAACTTAGAGATGCAGAAGCCCTCAATCCAGACTGAAAAATCAAGCAGGATCACAAAATCGCACAATTCCGCACCACAGTAGTGCAGAATTCTGCAATTTCCGGCGATCGCGGGAGGGACTGAACTAGCAATTTCCATTCAATTGGCTATTTCTATAGTGATCCGTGCCTCCTTTTTCTTTACTTATTTATATTTCATTATTTTTATTTAGAATTATTTCTATTAGGAGTCCATTCATGTGTGGGTTTATGCTGCTTTTAGAACAATTTTGCTTTGTTTTGAATTTATAGAGATTATAATCTCTGTTATCAACTTTGGGGAGTAATCTCTCATTTCGTTTTACAAGTGATGTACATCTATCTTTCTCAGGAACATGTGGTGAAACCTCCACGTTGCCCAAATGTAGCCGATTTAGAGTTTCATTTGTTGTTTTCGGCTGGAAAACCGCAAAACAACGTCTATCACCTTCCAAACACCATCGACCTCGCATATTTTCATTTTCTCCATATTCCACAACAACCTCCTCATAAAACCTGCTTCTCAAACACATTCTAAGTAGGGCTGTCAATTTGGCTCGTTATTCGTGAACAGCTCGTGTTCGGCTCGTTCGCCGAACACGAATAGCTCTTTGTTCGCTCGTGTTCGGCTCGTTTTAACTCGAAATAAAAAAATTTATATAACTTTTTATATAACAATATATTACATATATTATTTATATAATAATATATTATATATATTTATGTCTAAATTTAAATCATAACACCTCATGTGACAATGTGGTTAGTGTCTTCTTTTGTATACATTTGATCCAGGTTCGAATCCCACACTTTACATCTATTTTTCTCAATTTTAGTTTAACGAGCCAATTTCAAACCGGATACGAGCCGAACACGAACACGAATATTTAAATCGAGCCGAACACGAACACACTGTTCACGAGCCGATTTCGAACACGAGCTATTTTGAACGAGCCGAACACGAGCCAAGCCTGAGCTCGCTCAAGCTCGGCTCGTTTACGACCCTAATTCTAAGTGCCCTAAAATGGTATCATCTGGTATTAGAGCCCAACAAACCTAGATTTTTAGAATTTTGTCATCATTTCCCCCAAATCAAAATCCACATAACCTAAATCCTCGACCAGCTCAATACTCTAACCACTCCTATAGCAATCCCTAGTCCTAGTCCCAAAATTTTTAAAAACTAATATTCATACGTCCACCAAAATTTCACTGCAACGCCTACCACTTAAAACCTGATACCGCATGCCCTCTAAAACAACAAAACTCAAATCACTCTACGAACTGCTTCATCATACGCCACCGACATACTCACATCTTCGAACATTCAGGTGTCTTTGCTATCCATGGCAAAAAGCCACAAGCCCCACACAAACTTGCACCTCTCTCCTCACCTTGCATCTTTCTTGGCTGCCCACGCCACCAAAAAGGTTACTGCCGCTATAATACCCAAAATCATCAAGTACTTACTTCCCTGCATGTGGTCTGCAACGAACTTACCTTCCCTCCTCATATTTCCTCAACACCCACTCCAACACCCACCACATATATCCCACCGAAACTCCTAACACCCTCATTTTAACAACACATACCACAGCCACCCAACTCAATAATCCCTCACCTCACCTCCGCTCATCCCAACTTCCCTCTCAAACCCATCAGCAACAGATCCTGCCACCCTCTTCCAGCAACCTCCCAAACTCCCAATCATCCCACCAACCACAACATCAAAACACCCCATGACAACCCGCTCCCAAACCGGCTCACTTAAACCCAAACAAATTCTCAATCTCCATACATCCACCTCATCCATGTCTAATCCCACCACTTACACTAAAGCAACGAAACACCTCCAGTGGAGATAGGCTATGTCCACGGAATTCGAGGTCCTTCAACGTCAAGGCACCTAGGTCCTCATTGATCCTCCTCCCTAAGCCAACATTATTGGTTGCAAATGGACCTACCATACTAAATATCCGCAAGATGGATCAACCTCAAAATTCAAAGTTAGATTCGTCGCCCTAGGATTCAAACAACATTGCAGCACCCACAACAACGAAACCTGCAGCCCCATTGCCAAAATGCCCACCATCTGCATCCTCCTATCAGTTGCAACTCATCACAAATGGCAAATTCAGCAGCTTGATCTTTCAAACGCCTTATTCCACGGCTCTTTGGATGAACTCATCCGCATGCACCAACCACAAGGCTTTCAAAACACTCAATTCCCCAATCGGGTATGTCTCCTTAAAAAGGCACGACACTCTACGGCCTCAAACAAGCTCCAGGGAAATGGTATGCCACTCTTATCTGTTACATGCAAACCAAAGGCTTTCAACTCAGCACCGCCAACCCTTCCTCCTTATCTACAATAAAAATCAAACCACCATCTACTTTCTAGTCTATCTCAACGAAATCCTTATTACGGGTAACAACCCACTTGCCATATGTACCCTCATCAAAAACATCAAGACAACATTTCAACTTAAGGAACTTGGACCCATTCAAACGTTCCTTGGCATCACTACCAAAACCACACGACAAGGCTACCACCTAAATCAATCATCCTACAACCTCTCCCTCCTCTAGACTCTAAGCATCTTTTCCTACAAACCAGTCAATACTCCTCTTCCCCACAAACTTCAACCAGAACATGCCTCATTACAAGAGTACCACGACATCACCCAATAATGCCAACTTGCAGGCTCCCTCCAATTCATCACAATCACAAGGCCCGACATAGCATTCACCGTCAATCACATTTGCCAGCAAATGCACTGCACCCTCATATACCACTTCCTACTCATGAAGTGTCTCCTTCGATATCTCAAAAGTCTATCGACTTCAGACTTCATATCACCAAAAGTCAGCTGCAACTCGGCACATACTCTGACTTTGACTGGGCCGGTGACTCACAACATGCTTTTGCATTGTGGTGGCTTGCATCGCACCCACACCTTCTGCGAAAAAGAGGGCAGCGCTTAACAGCAATGCGCCGCAGCGCCCGTCCATCTTTTCCATACTGTCAGGCCTTTCCTCCATATTTTCGCGAATTTCTCTGCCTACGGCGGGTGAGTCTTCTGATGGCACTAGAGTTGTTACTCTTGTCCCTGTTGTGGTCTCCTATCCAATTGTTTTGGGTAACTCTGAGGCTACTCCCACTCCCAGATTAGGCAGGAGGGCACGGAGGACTAGGCCTGCACAGTTCAAAAGCAAAGACGGTAGCTCGATCCTCCATAGAAGCCGAGTATCGAGCTCTCGCCGCAACCACAACTGATGTACTATGGATATGCTGATTTCTCCAAGAATTTCAAATTCCTAAAATCCCCACACCATTTTTTTGTGACAAAACCTCCGCCATAGCCATTGCTCTCAATCCAATCTTCCACGCCATAACTAAACATGTGGAGAACGAATACCATTTTATACGAGAATACATCACATCATAGGCCATTCAAATTCTGCACATAAGCTACTCGGATCAAGTGGCGGACATCTTCACAAAAAGCCATTCGGCAACCACATTCAAAAAACTCCGTAACATGCTAACTATCACTACACCTAATAGTCGGCTTGAGGAAGCATAACAACCCTATAAAACTAGGCAGCGAAACCGCATTTTACTTTTTACCACTACCTCTATACCTTCTAGAAGATTTGTTTTATTTTATTTACTCATATACAAAACCATTATAACAGCTTCATTCTTAATTGAGATAATATGACTACTCACTGTTCATCCTGAAATATTCTCCCTGCTTGGCCCCTGCTTGGAATTACGCTCATGAAAGTCCTCACCGCCAAGTTTCTTGAATTTTGACACAAACCTCCACACAGTCCTCGTATTCAAAGAGCAACAAAAGTACTACAACGGGAAGCTTCTCTCTGTCTGTTGTAGCCAAAGCATTTCAAGATGGTTTTATCAAATTATTGTTGAGACAACCCAGATGTTCTGTCCAAGTACTAAAGGATGAACTTATGAAAGATGATTTAATTATAGACTTTAACAACTAGATGAGACATGTCAATCAATAAAGTTGTGGCATGTGCAGCAAACTGTTTAATCACTTGAGTATCATTAACGATGTGGCATCATCCCATCTGCAAGCGCATAGATTTGATCATACAAGAAAGTTCTTGAGGAAGGAAGCCATTTTTTTTTTTCT